ATTGTTATCTGGTCTAATCCAGTTCAGGTATTATCTCGTCCCATCACACGTGTTTTGGCGGATTGGCGTCGGCCATGATGAGTATTGCCGACGATGGAACGACTCCTCTTACAAAATGTTCACCTGTGCCGTAGTATCGCTTTTGAAGCGGGAAGCTCAAAAAACCGCAAATTTCTTACGCAGACTGTGAAGTTATGATTGCATTTCAGACTTTGCCGATGCGCTTATCGTGATTTTTGAGGCATTATCTATAAGAAACAACTCTTATTTTTGCTCCAGCAAAAGTTTGCAACAGGCCCATTGCGACCTGAATTATCTGAAAAATTGGGAGGATAATATTCATAAATGATGTGTCCCATTAAGGAGGGTATTTTGGCCCTAACTTTGGTCGAAAATTGAAACAGCTTAGAATAATGTCACGCAGGGCCAAATTAAGGGGGTGGCCACATAGGCCGCGGCCCATGGCGGCAAATCCAAGGGGCGGCAAAAATTTGCAGTTTTTTAAGGTGTATAGGTATAAAAAAAATCGGATTTATAAAAACAAAATTACAAACGAGAAAAGGCGACAAAATCTCTCCTTTCCTGAGAGTATAGTAATTTCTAATTTTGTCGTCTTTTATATAGTGATACAAGAGACAGCACCCCTCAATAAGTCAGGTTAAGAGAGAGACCAAACACTCAATTTGGCCTGGAACGGCGCGACTTAGAGAGAAATGATAACGAGGACTTGAGATGAAAAGGAGAAGCCCTCGGTGCGGCGATCGGCATGTAACACATATTAGCGCCTACCAGACTGCACGAATACTTCACGCATTGTATCAAACACAGTGCGGTTATTGCGGTCAGCGTGAGACGGATAGCGCCTACAAGACTGCGTGAATACTTCACGCATTGCGCCAAACACAGTGCGGTCAGCGTGAAACGCATAGCGCCTACAAGACTGCGTGAATACTTCACGCATTGCGTCCAACACGGTGCGGTCTGCGCGGCGCGGCCGGCGGCAGAAGTTAAAATCATTGAACCACATTTATGTTTGGTCTTTCATAATTTTTTCGTTCATTTCTTATGAATGGGAGGACTTGTCCACCCAGAGATAGGTTTACGAAACTTAACTTTTGCGCAAAGTTTCGTGAACTTTTGCTGGTAGCGTTGACAGGGCTTTCCCAAAAAAGGGTTCAACACGAGTAAATGCGTCTTATGCACACCATCCCCGCTGGCACGTTGATTTGATGGTTTTTATCGGGTTTCAAAACGAACTTCAAAACGCGGCCCATGTGCGGCAAGTAGGTGAATCCGGCCCTGATGTCACGTATGGTCAAATCGACTCTTAATTTTACCTACCCTGTGAGAACTTATCCTTATTGGACAAGGTCCCTATTTTTGAAAGGTTTTTGCCTGATTTACCAGCGCAGAGTAGTGAAGTTTTGCAGTTTTCTCGAATAATTGCTCATTTTCGGTCCTAAATTAGATTGCTCATGTATGAGCACAAGTGACTACCACTTTCATATTCGAATATGTGAATCTTTAGTACGCCCATTACAACATATTTAAAGGAGAAAGTGGTAATTGCTTGTGCTCATACATGAACAATCTAATTTAGGACCGAAAATGAGCAATTATTCGAGAAAACTGCAAAACTTCACTTCTCTGCGCTGGTAAATCAGGCAAAAACCTTTCAAAAACACCTCAAATAAGGACAAGTTCTCTCAGGGTAGATAAAATTAAGAGTTGGTTTGACCATACGTGACATTATTCTAAGCTGCTTCAATTTTCGACCAAAGTAAGGGCCAAAATACCCTCCTTGATGGGACATATCCTTTACCAGGAAATTCACTTTTTATCCAAGGAAATTTGGCAACGCCTGAAGGCTCATACGGCGTTTTTCCTTAGCACGGCAGAACAATGCGATCGTCTCGCCGTTCTCTAGCTT